TTTTGGTTTTCGACGCAACTTGTTTTGGTTTGGGACGCATCTTTTTTTTGGTTTTCGACGCAACTTGTTTTGGTCTTCAACGGATCATTTTTTGGTTTTCAACGAATCATTAATCTATAAATCTTCAATGATTTAATTCTTTGTTTGGTATATGATGGGTGTTATTTGCTGAAGTACAACTTTTTAGTAGTTTTGTGGGGAGCTGGAAAGTGTAATTGGCTAGTAATTGCCTCTACAACTCAAAATTGGCTTTAGTATCAGTAACGTTGTACCCTGCTGGCAGAGTCTCCTTTCAATTTTTCTCTCGCTCGGGGAAAATTAAAAGGAGACTCTGCCAGCAGAGTAAGTACCGTTCAATTCAGATTAGTCTATGAATGACTGGTAATTGACATGTAATTGGCTATTTTTATTATTATTTTTAATTGGCCTCTGATTGAATCCAATAGTAAGATTGGCAGTTTTTAAAGCAATATTTGATTGGCTATTTACTGATTGGCAGATGCTTGTAAATTCCACCCCAAACTCAGTAGTGTACGAGGGCACGCTTGGGTAAAACCCAAGAGGACTGGGTGCGAATCCCGGCTGAGTTAAGTGGTAGAAAACAAGACATTTGCGGAATTTCAATGAAATATTATTCCACGAAAAAATTATAAATTTGAAATTCTCGACTTTCACATCTCCATAATGCCTTGCGTCTTTGGGGGGTAACCACTCAAAAAACTGTCCCAAATTGAAAGGTTTCTTAATTGAATTTATACTATACCTGCTTTTATCTGTACAATACTGATTATCAAGTTATTTTTGCGTGTACAGATCATGAAGAGTTTTGGTCTTACAGAAAATGTATTGACTTACGAAAAATGTTTTTAAATTTACCTTAAACGTCTTCAAGCTTCTATCTTTTTCTGTTTTTTACTTCATTTTATCTTTGAATACCAAACAAGGTATTTTCAACATTGTCTGATCAGCCTTCAGCAAAATAAGTGGGTTTCTACCCTCTGGTCACCCCCCAATGACGCAAAGGATGATGGGGATGTGAAAGTCGAGAATTGGCTGATTGGAAAAGAGGAGAGACTGATTTAAAAATGCTTTAGTGAAATCTGTTTCTGTTAGGTAATAAGATTACTATTTTTTCATAGTTATATTCGAGTCTTGAACAATTACTGAAATGTAAACTCCTTCGTCTTTTCAACTCCACAACTTCCAAATTTAGCCTCAACAAAATTTCAAGAAAATCTAGTTGGGTGATTTAGATTGAGGACGGGTGGATTTAAAAACGATGAGTTTTTAGGCGGGAAGAAACAGGGCAAGGCAGGGCAGGGCAGGGCAGCCTTCAATATTTCGTCTCCCCCTTCCTTCTCATGTACCCTTCCCCGATAGAAAAGAGAGATTACTTCGTGGAGACAAGGTGGTAATTAATGAAATATACCCGGAAAAAAATAGTGCGGAAGAGATCAAACAAAGAGCCATTTAGAGCACGAGAAACGGCTGGGCGAAGCTAAAAACACCGGGATTCCGATATTTTGGATGGTCATTTTTCACTTGTAGTAGCTATTTTCTTAACTCATACCCAATCCTTTACCCTTAACACTAGGCCTATGATCGATATCCTTGTCCCCTGTTGCCAAGGCAACCTGTCCCAAGCAGCTAGTCGTAGCTAACTTCATAATATAAACATTCTGGACAATAGAAATAACTTCATGTCCGTCTTTCATTGTCACCTTCAACAGTAGTAAACAATAGTGACTAAAGACTCGTGACGTTAAAAGAGATTTACAAATCATCTCAAAAGTAAACAAATATACCAATGGGCCGGTAAAATTTTCGGCTTAAACTAATTTTTTTCGGGCAATTTTTCAGGTACGCGAGAAGAAGGTATAGAAACAAGGAGGGAATAATACCGTTCATAGAAATAATTTTTGAACTCGGGATTTGTTTTTAATTAACCAAATTGATCCAGAAACTTCAAGTGAATAGTTCTTGAGAATAGACAATAAGTTAGTAAACAATAGGGATTAAAACTGCCTATCATTGAATACAACACTCAAGTATTTGATTTAATCATTCGTACTTRTCTTAACTCTTTACGGTTGTCAACAACAATGCACGAAGACTGCTAAAACAAGACTACGAAAGTGGTCTTAATATCGAACCAGGTTTAAGTAGGTTGCCTATGGTTAGGGACAACGTTTTTGGTGTCAAAATGGAGTCGAAAAAAGAGGTATTCTCTGGCTCAAAGACTGCAAAACGAGTGGCTGCTGTTAGTAGGGGAATCACGAGTTTATCAAAACCTGGCACTGGCTTTGGTTTACCAGCGATATCACCAACTCGAGGAATCATCCAAGGAAGCAGGATTATAACGATGGAGAGTAGAAAGGTAAGCCGTCGAAGAGCAAGAAAACCGAATCAAAAAGAATACGATGACCTACTACAAGCCTTCAACCAGACCAAAGTTGAGATACATGATTTGCAGAATCAAAACATTCGACTTCAAACTTTGGTTCTTGAGAGTAAAAATGAGCTGGCTCTAAGGACGCAGCAATATAAGGAATTGTACGAAAGGTATGAAATGCTTTCTCATTTGGAAAAATGGGGCGAAGTTATAAGGAATAAGGACAGAGAAATACAGCGTTTGCAAGATGAGATAAAAAAGATGTCTACCGATCGAAACGAGGCGTTGAACGAGAAGGTATCTGCTGAGGAAATGATAAACGGGTTGAAATCGAAGCTGAGGGGGAAGAAGCGGGAAATAAATGATATGAAAGCAGCGGAGAAAGTCATTAATAAAGCAAAAGTACTTAGTGAGACTGAAACACTACGGAATGAGAGGGATATTGCTCTGGGAAGGCTGAGTCAAAGAGATACTTTGATAGAAGAACTAAGACAGCGAATAAGATCCATTGAACAAGAATTATACCAAAGGAAACTTTCGATACAGGAGCTACAGAGAAGGACATCTGTAAAAGAGAAACAGGTGGACGACTTGAGAAGATCGAGTGTTATCTCTAAATTTCGATACGGAGCGCTTGCAAATCACTGAGAAGAATAATGTGGGTTGTGTAAGGACTTCACTCATAGTTGTGAATCCTTAGACGGGAAGAAACAGTGAAGGGAAAGGGGCTCAATTAAGGGCAGGGCAGGGTAGGGCAAGGCATCCTTCAACATTTCGTCTCTCCCTTCCTTCTCATGCACCCTTCCTCGATAGAAAAGGAAAAATCTTTCGAGAAGACAAGATGTTAATTAATTAGATATCCCTGAAGTGAAAAAGAATGAAGAAGAGGTCAAGGAAAGATCCTATTAAAGCACGAGGAACAGCTGGTCAAAATACTGAATTTCAACGAACTAAAAACTTCGATGTTGGACGAATATAATGGATCTATATCGATAAAACGGTACACCAGGCGTTCCTCGAACTCATTTAGATCAATATACGAAATCCTTTGCTATTATCTCCTGATTTTTGAAAATCTTCAACAACAAAAAAAAAACTGATACAGTGTGTCAATTTTCTCACTCTTTGCGCTTTTACATACTTTCCGTGGACTTCAGCCTATGCTTTTGGTTGATTTTCAACCAATTTAAAAACATTAGAAAATATAACAATTATTTATAATTCATGAAAAAAAGTTCATTTTTAGCCATTTTGAAGCMAAAGACATCGCTAAACGCCACATTTTTCATCGATTCTCAACCATTTTCACCCCTTTTGAAAAAACATGCATTATCTTTCAATTTCAAGAAATCAAATTTAGTCATTTTTAGCCATTTCTGGACAAAAACCATGGACAATAGCCCATGGTTTTGATCGATTTTGGGCCATTTTCACACCTTTT